GGAAGGAATCTTTTTACACAGGTGGCAGCATTGTGTTTTTCTCTTGCTTCTAGTTTTCTGCTATCCTAATCCCCTGACACAAGGATACCATATGACAAATTGTCAATTAAATTCTTATTGGAATCCAGATACACTATGTCTACAGCATTTCCTGGATATACCAGTCAGGTAACAATGTCAAAGAAAGGAAATGGTTAGTCTGGCCTGTGTTTGTTTCTAATAAACCAATGCTGGCTTCCAGCAGGCTTTGATTTCTTGGTTAAATACTAACAAACCATACATTTAGTAATCCATTCTGATACAAAACAAAGTGAATAGAACCAAGAGAGCAATTTGTACAATTACCACAATCATGTAAAGTAACATGAAAAAACATAAGAACTCTGTTCAATGCAATGCTTCATTTTTTTCTTCAGAGAATTGATGGTGACCGCTCTCTACCTTCTTTCAGAAAAGTGGTGGGGGACTAAGATTAGAATGAAGCATACATTGCTAGACATGGCCAATATGTTGGCTTGTTTTATTTTACCTACATAGCTTTGTTATGGGGGGATGGGTCTTATCAGGGGTGTTCCTGAAAAGTGACATTAATGTAAAAATTTTAAAAAGACATCAATAAAACATTTGTTTTTTAAAAAAAAATTTTAGAATTTTGCTGGAGATCAAAGTCAAGCTTACCTATCAGAGTTTCTGGAAATTCATCTTTTCTCCCCCATTAAAAACCAAGGCCAAGAGAGACCATATTTGGTCTCTCTCATTCCCTGCAGTTCTTCCAAGACCACATTCAGTGGTTCACTATTTCCACCTGTAAGCTTTTAATACACTAGAATGTAATTGGTCTGTGTTGTGTGCTGGTTGAGGATGGTCTGTGATGGCTGATGGATGCCACCTAAAAGCACTGAGAGCAACTTGGTTTATATTCCAGCAGGTGCCTCCTCATAGGATTTTTTTAGATGGAGGTGAGATATTCTAAGTCATTGAGTTTAACCATTTTGTTTTAGAAATGAAGAGACAGAGGTCTAAAGATGTTAAGTAATTTTCAAAAGGTTGCACAGCTAGTTAGTCAAGGCAACCAGAACTAGGTCCAATTCCCAGCTTTTTGTTATCCTCATTATTGATAATAATACTATACACTACATCCATTTTAGGTGTATTTAAAATTTAGATTCTGCATCTTTTGCCTGGGTTGTTTATGGAAAGAAATATCTGTTAATAATCTTATCCTTTGAAATGGATAAAGGCCTTAAAACTGTTTCAGTTCCTTAACTGAATTTTAGAATTTCTGAAGATTTAAAATATAGGCAGAACAGAACCTTGAAATTATGACATGAAGAATAAAATTTCCTATCTTTGTGCTGACATACTTCATGCCAATTAAAATTTTTTTTTAAATCTTATAACCTCTACTTCCTTTCCCCAAAGCATAACCCTATTCATTATCTTTTCTCTTAAACTCTTAAACTTTTCTCTTAAAACTTAAACTTTTCTCTAAACTATTTATTCACTTAGGTCCTCACCAGACCTCTGGCCTTATTCCACCAGACCTCTGGCCTTATTCCACGGACTTCTGCCTCTTATCCACTTTGGTTGTCACGCTAATGTCTTCTATCCTCATTTCTACTCATCTCTAAAGGTTTTATCTACACTTTGAATGGTTTTACCTCTCCATGAATTTAAAATTCACCTTAAAAACAAACCACTCCCAGAAATCTACAAACCAAGGAAAACAATACCAACTTCCTATCAAAGCAAACCATCTTAATCTCATTTCCCCTGAACTTATGACTATTAGCCTCATACTGCATTGCCTGGGTACGTTACCAATACATGTTATCTAGCTTCAACTAGGAGGCAACTGGCAGCTCTATTGGTAAAGCCTTGGACTTGAGTTCAAGTCTGACCTCAGACACTTACTAGCTGTGTGACCTTGGACAAGTCACTTGACCTCTGTTTAGCTAAATCCACTGGAGAAGAAAATGGCAAACCACTTCAGTATCTTTGGCCAGAAAACCCCTGGACAGCATTGGTGTGCTATGGTCCACGGGATCACGATGAGTCGGACATGATTGAACAAAAAGCTTCAATACAGCAATCCTTTTTTTTTACTGATTCCTTTTCTCCCTCAACTGGGAAGTTATACCAAACCTTCTTTTCTCTCCTCAAGCCTCTTACACCTCCACTTCCTTCTCTCTCAGCTGAAGGACCCTTTATTACTTGATTGAAAAAATTAAGACTATTCAACCTCAGCTCCCTCTTCTCAGTTTCTCTTAATCTCAAAACACCTTTTACATCTTCCCATTCTCACTTCTAGTCTCTGAAAATAACATGGCCCCTCCCCCCTTTTTTGTCAAGTTAAGACTTCTACATTTGTCCTTGATCCCACTCCCTCTCATTTTTTTCCAGCAAATTGCCCTCAATATAATCGCCACCCTTTTCCAACTCACACACTTCTCTAATTTTCGGATTCTCCCTATCTACTAGTTACTAGTCCCTTCCTTATTGCTTTCAAACATATTCATCCTTTAAAAACAAGAATACAACTTCAATAGACCATAGCATCCCCTTAATCTATTGCCCTAGATCCTTTCCACCTCCCTTTTTCAGCCAAACTAGAAAAAGCTATCTACACATAGTTCCTATTTCTTCTCCTCTCACTGAAGCCTTTGTAACCTACCTGGCTTTTGACCTTTATCACTCAACCAAAACTGCTTTCTTAAGTTACCAGTGATCTCGAGTGGCAAATTTTTTGTGGTCATGTTTTAAGCTCCAGATTACTTCCCTCCCCACCCCACACTGGAGAAGACCACCATTTGACACAGATGTGTGTGCTTTGTAGTTGATTTTAATATAATACTCAGAATAGCAAATCTTGATGTATGCTGCATTTGACACCACTAATAACCCTCTTCTCCTGAACACTGTCTCCTCTCTGGATTTTTGTGATACTAACTCTCCTCGTTCTCCTATCTTTCTAACCTTTTCTTAGTTTCCTTTGATGGCAACAAGGTGGCATAGGGAAAACCTTGGTTAAAATCTTCCCTCAGACTTACTAGTATTACCCTAGGCAAGTCAATTTATCTTATCTACCTTGGTTTCCTCAACTGTAAAATGGGGATAATAACAGCATCTGCATCCCAGCGTTGTTGTGGGGATCAAAGGAGATATTTTAGTGTTTAGCATAGCAGGCACTTAATAAATGCTTGTCCATTTCTCCCTTTCTCTTCATCATCTATTTCATGTCTTCTAACTATGGATATTCCCCAAGATTGTCTTGTCCTCCTCTCTCCACCCTATCAGTGACTTTAGCTCCCATGGGTTTAATTATCTCTATGTGGATGACTCACAAATCTAAACAAACAACCCACTTCTCCAATGAGCTTCTGACCCCCATCACTGACTCCCTATTGACTATCTCAAACTGGATGTTCTGGAGGTATCCTAAACACAACAGTCCAAAACACAACTCATTACCTGTCCCCTGCCTCCCTAAATCAACCCGTATTCCAAACTTATTTTTATTCAAGGAATTACCAATCTTCCAAACTCCCAGGTCTGTAACCTTGGCATTAACCTTGACTCTTCATTCTCCTTTACCCTATATATCTAATCAGTTGCTAATTGTGGCTTTCTACTTCTATAACCTTCTAGAAGAAACCTTTACTCATCTACCGTTAGTAACCTCCTTCCTAAATTATCTTGAATTTAACTGTGTTTATTCTCTTTTTATTTAATCTACATGTGTCTATATGTGTACTTGTGGTCTCCTCTGTTTGAATGAAAATTCCTTGAGAGTTGGGATTGTTTCATTCTTTGTATTTGTATCCTCAATGCCTGGCACATAGTAGGCCCTTAATAAATGCTTGTGGGCTTAATCTAAATAAAATGTAAATGCTGCAAAAGGGAAAGCAACAGGGGTACAGTAAGGAAGATTTCTTTGGAATGAGTACACCATTCTCAAGGAAAGCAAGTGAACCATTAGGTGTGACAGTAAAGTGATGGGAATAAGCCTAGAAGCTACAAATACCCATTTTCCAAGCCTGGAACTGCTAAAAAATGTATAAAAGAAGTAACTCCATTATTGTAGTACTCCCTCCAAAGCTGCTTCTTTTTCTGAAATTCTATTGCCATATTTCTGGATTGTCTTTAGGTATTGACCAACAAAGTAGGATGAATGGATGACTTCCCCACTAAATATTACTCCTCTTCAAATAGACTATGGTCCAGTCACATTCTAAGCTAAACATTACTCATGGTAAATATATTCCATCTTCCATTTCTGTGTCTTCACATTGGATGTCCCTCATATCTGGAATCTTTCCTTATTAGAATCCTTGGCAAGACTCAGCTCCAATGCCATCTTCTGTAGATGGCCCTTCCTGGTCCCCAATCTATTGGAATCTTCCCTTCCCCTTGGGGTTACCTTCCATTCATTCTGTATGTATCTTGTATATCTATTTATAGACATGTTATCTACCCCATTAGAATCCAAACTCTTTAAGGACAAGACCTCTTTTTGGCTTACTTTGCATCCTCAGCCATTTGAAATATCTGGCACATTAAGTACTTAATAAATGGTCATTGATTGACTACTTAAAGTTATTTTCTTTTTTTTATTATTTTTAGGCAATTGGGGTTAAGTGACTTGCCCAGTGTCACACACCTAGTAAGTGTAAAGTGTTTGGTCTGAGGCCACATTTGAACTCAGGTCCTCCTGACTTCAGGGCCGGTGCTCTATCCACTGTGCCACCTAGCTGCTCCTACTAAGTTATTTTCAAGGATTAAAAACTACTTGGGTCCTAGATGCCTTTCAGAAAGCATTAATATTGATTTTTCTTAACTTGAATATGAGACTAATGTAGTTCATATTCAAGGGAAGAAAACTATACTCAAATAATCATATTGCCACCTCATTTATGAGCACTGATAAATGAAGTTGAATTCAAAATTTCCCAAATAAATATAACTTTCACTTTAAATCCACAAATTCAGCCAATCAAAAGTTAGCAATTATTGTCCAGTTTATTAGGAACCTGATTTTACAACATACCTTTTGTTCTTCCAAAATAATGTCTTTCATTAAAAAAACAAAACAAACAAACAAACCAGAGATGATGAAGATGACCCAGATTCTCAACTCTGTTGGCTTGGAAGAAGGCTATACTTGCAGTTTTAAACACAGAACGGTATAGAAGGCTGCAATGAGCTTACAATTATGACTTCATTTAAAATGCAATCTTCAAAAAGACCAATCAGATGTATCTTGTAAAAGTCCCAAATTAGGATGACATGTCTTTTGAAAGGAATGCTACCCAGTACAAACTGACAAAAGTCACTGAAAAAAAAATGGTGCTTTTATTTCTTTTACCTATGAATAGAAATATAAGGTTTTAGTTCAATCCTGGATAAGACTGTTTTTTGGCATTAATTACTGGTTCATTTTTAAGACAAAAATGGCATCCATAATTTGGGTGGGAGATGGAGTATGGTAAGGAAGAGGTGTTGGACTAAGTTTCTTGCAAGTAAATTGGAAAGTTTGTCCTAGTGAATAGGTCTTGGTTTATATGAAAAAAACAAGGTGAAAATTAATATAGACACTAATCTTTTCCCAATTTGTGTGTGCGTTCATGCCTCCTCATAGTGCCTGACTCAGTAAAGGAATGACCACAATAAACACAAGAGTATGGCTTTTCTCCAGTATGAATACGTTGATGGCGCTGTAGCGATGATAGTCGGGTAAAGGTCCCACCACACTCATCACAGTAGAAAGGATGCTCTCCTGAGTGTGTTTGTTGATGCCTTTTCAACCTAAGCAGCTGGATAAAGGCCATGCCACATTCCTGGCATATGTATGGCTTTTCCTGCCGGTGGATTACTTTGTGTTTGGAAAGTAGGTTTGGTTTGCGAAACCCCTTACCACAGGTTTGACAGACGTAAGGTCTGAGGTCCTCCTCTCCTGGCTTTTGGTCATCTGAACTCTGATTATCTGGATCAGCATCATGTTCATTTTGGTGATTTGTAGAGTAGGGGTTCTTCATAGTACCATTTCCTAAAACCACCTTGGAGTGTTCAATCTTGTGAACGTTTCGTAGATGTCGCCATACATCGGCTGTACGGATGAATCCTTTGTCACATTCGGGGCACTTATGTGGCCTATCACTAGAGTGGATCAACTTGTGCATACGCAAATTAGCAGCACAAAAGAATTCTTTGCCACAGATGGGGCAGCAGTAGGAATGTTCAGTTACATGGATCTGTTTGTGTTCCTGTAGTCTAGCTAGATCCTGGAAAAACATGCCACACTTCCTACATCGGTAAGGTAAAGTTTCCCTGGAGATAGGCTCAAAGTCTTCATCAAATTTGTCAATGAGGACAATGTTTTCATCATCCTCACTCAGCTCTCCCTGAGCTGCTTCTGGGTTATCAGAGAAAGACAGTTCTAAGTCTTCACCCTCACACTGTAAGTCAAAGTTAGTACTGCAGTTGACAAAAATCCCTGTGGTGGTTTTCTGTTTCGAGTTGCACGTTTCATAAGTTTCCTCATCTTCACACTGCAGTTCCACTGGGAGCTCTTGCTTACAAGAGGGTCTTACAGAGTTACAGGATGGTTGAGAGGGTAGAGAAGAATCTTCTTGTTCTTGGAGCTGGAGGTTGGATTTATGACTGGCCCTTTTAGAGCTCAGGCTTGCATCCTCAGAATGCTCTTCTGTTGAATCCTGGGTGTCACCATCTGACTGCCAGCCCACCTCTACATCCATTCTGTGCTGCTGCTGCTGGACTTGATGGTTGTTCCTGGCTTTTCCTGGGAGGCCACAGTGACTTACATCCTTATAGGATGGACTTGGGGCATCTTCACTTCAGCTTTCAGCTACTCTATGGAGGGAAAAGATTGAATAAAGTTCAAACTCCAGTCTAGAATTTAAATCCCCCTATAATCTGACTCTACTGATACAATCCCATTATTCTTCAATGTGGACCCTTTGTACCAGCTAGGACAATTTTCTCACTGTCCTTTCCTGCCTTCACACCTTTGTACATGTTGTACCTTTCTCTTTCCTTTCTCTTTATTCAAATTTCATTTATCCTTCAGGATCTAGCTTACATAAACCTCAACAAAGATTTCCTCAACCACTATCATATAGTGAGTTGTACCTTCTGCTAACTCCTGCTGCATTTATTGCCTATGTATCACTAATTTTGGTACTTAAAACATTCAGTATACTTCTTGAATGGTTCAGGTACATATATTTCCCCTGTCTTTCCAAACTAAGCTACTAGAAAGCAGGTATCATGCTTTGTAAGTCAAATGCACCTCCGCAGTGAACTTCTGGGACTCCTACATACACAGTAAGCACTGCCATTCATGGAGTAAGCAAAACCATGCATGTAGTAGGCCCTGTGTAAAAATCACAAAAATGAAGAGTAACATTTAAAGAATTCAACTGAAAGTAACAATTTTGCTTTTGGTTTAAAACGAAACAGGTACAAGGATAAGAATATTTTACCTTTGATCTTGTAATTACAGGAGTAGCAAGAAATACTCTGACTTCTGACTTCCTCCCCCAAACCATAAAGAGCTATTCCTTTTTTATATTAATTTTATTTTATTCTCATTATTTCTTCAGATTTCCATTAGATTTCAGTTCTATACTTCTCCAATGGTCTTAAGACATCCTTTAATAATAATTTTCTTTCCCCAGATATTCCAGGTTCTCCATCCAGATTGATCTTTGCAAACAAATTCTCTGAGTAGCAACAAACAGTCCTTCCAGAACTAGAATGCTAAGCAGCAGCAGCCTTTTCTCACATTTTATTACCATTAAAAGCATTCTGATTCTTCAGAGGCTCCGAAACATGTGATTTTTAATTATATGCTGAAGTTACTCAATATCTTGATTTATGATCTTTAACCCATCTGTTTTACAGGCTATGACACCAAATAGATTCCCTTTACCCCCACTCCAGTCAGTTGTTGATCAGAATAAAAAGAAATACTCCCTTGGAGGTCCACTCCTAGGCAAGGAACCCTAGGAAAAAAGAAGAAACACGAGGGATACATACATACATACATACATACATAATAAAACATACCTAAGTATTTACATAGACTCTGCTCTCAAAGAGCTTACAATATAAAAGAGGATGGGAGCTTTAACTCATTTAACCATAGATGCTTCAATTAATTAAATGTGTTCTTCTCAGATACTCAAAATACTGGAGACACTAGTATATGAACTATAACCAGTAGGGTTTTCAAGTAACTCATCTTCATGTTTTCAAATTCATATTTTAAAATTTATTTGGGAAAATTATATAAATTAAGAATTTAAAGAATAGGGATTTTACATAATGATTCTTAACTATTTTCACACTAGTGAATATATTTATCAGGCACCGGCATGCTTTCTGGCATTCATGTGAGTAGCATTCAATACTATTGATCTCAATGGCAATATGCTGACAGCAATTACAAAATAAAGCTGAACACCATTAGATCAAGTCTACATATCAAGACATAAGCCTGAATACTAAAATAAACCTTGAATAATGTCCCTTATTTCCTGTCTCTCAAGCAATACTAAGATGAATAATAATGACAAATGAATATAACAATCAAAATGAATACTAATAACCAAACAATTAAATTTAGTTCCACGAAAATATGGGCAGCTAGGTGTTGAGTGGATAGAGTACCAGGCCTAGAGTCAGGAAGACCCGAGCTCAAATGTGCTGCCTTCAGATAATGGGGTGACCCATGGGCAAGTTACTTAACCTTGTTTGCCTCACTTTCCTCATCTGTAAAATGAGCTGGAGAAGGAAATGGCAAACTACTCCAGTATCTCTGCCAAGAAAATCCCAAATGGGGTCACGAAGAGTCAGACACAACTGAAAGACTGAACTACAAACATATACACTTAAATATAGATTAGGAATTTTCTTCAATGCTAATGTCATATTCTAGTCCAAAATGCCCTCATGTCCCTTTTCAATAACAAGTTTTTTTTTTCCCACATTTTTTATCTATATTCCTTTCTCTCTTATGGCTATGTTAATATCATCTACCAAAATGCAACAAAACCTAGAGTCCACATTAAAAGTTAGGTATTTGCAAATGAACATTTGTTTCAACAGAACATTCACCTTCCCATTTTCACAATATAAATGTTAATTTTAAGTGAGTAACTGTTTGATGAGTAGGATCCAGGACTTGAATCTTACTTTCAATTGCTTTGGGCAACTCATACTTATTTTCTGTTTCCCAAAGATTTAAATGGAGAAAGCCTATCCAAAAGTTTAAAAAGATAAAGCTATGAAACTACATAATTTTACATGTCAAATTCCATTACAATTTTCACATAAAACAGTCATGCTCCAGATGATGGTCCACTTACTTTCAACACTCAAACAATCAAGGTCTTGGGTGTGACTATCCAGAAGCTAATTATTCAACTTGAATCTTCTAATATTTTAGCGGCTGCCTATTGCGGCAATTCTACTGTTCATTAGTACTTCATCAGGAGACCAAAGGAAGATGTTAAATTTAAATCAGCCATTTTTCTTATTTGTTGGAAGGTCTGATAAAAAAGAGAAAAGGTAGAAAAAAGATAGGAGCTATAATTAAAAGAGCTATAATCATGATGATGATAATGGTGATAAGGGAGACTATACAATCTATTAGTTTTCACTGTTGTTCGTCATTGCCACGTATATAATTAAGAGATGATTGCCAAACCACAACAAATAAGACAAGAAAATTCCACTGCATTCATCAGTTTACTGATGTCAAGCAACAGTCAATTCAACAAAATCTTTTGAAAAGTTCCTTGTATTTGGTTGTAAAAAAAATTTGACCTACTACACAAAGTTCCAGAAAAATGCTATGGTATGTTCATTTCTAAATATCATTGCTTAGCTTTTACCAAAATTAAAATAATCGGTCTGGCAAAGAAGTCTCCATCTCACCTTAAAGAAAATGATTTAATAAGTTCAGCTCATTTCAAAGGCTATTGTCCCCAGAGGAAAGGAAAGGTTCCTTTTTTGTGACAATTTGTATGAAGAAGTTATCTAAGAAAATCAACAAAGAAAGCAGTGGTACAGTGGAAAGAGCTCTGGGTTTAGAGTCAGAGGACCCCTGATGAAACCCCAAGAGGTCACTATATCCTTCTAGGACCCAGTTTCTTCACCGAGGTGGACTAGACCACCTCTAAGTTCTCTTCCAGTTCTACACCTACAATCCTATTAGAAAAAATTCCTGCTTCTAAAAACAGAAGATGGATATGCAACTAGCGAATCAGAAGGAAAGTTTATGGGTCTTGATGTCTAATGAGAATCTCTATTCCACTTTAGCTATGAAGACAAAAATTATTTTTGGCATTTGGAATTTTTTTCAGTGAATAATTCCTATATGTAGGCCCTACTGATGTTTGAAAAAAAAAATCCCTATGTCTTAGGAAATTCTGATGATTTCCTAATGAAGTAATTTCCAAATGTCCTTCAGAGAAATATTGATGTAATAATGATTAATTAACTATAAAATATTTAATGAGAAATCAACTAATTCAATGGGCATTACAAGTAGAATTAGAGATTTTAAAATATATATAGAATGGCACAATTGGTTTTTCTACTTCAGAGTCCCATGAAATGAACAGACAAGTGAAATTCTGGTAGGAGACAACTTTTATACGAAGGAACCAACCAACCTTCAAGGCTGAATCTTTTCAGGAAAGGTATTAAATCATCAGATAAATGAATCTAAAGGTTATTCTTCAGGGAATCGGAATATTTTGGTGAGAATATGAAGCTCACTTTCTGAGTTTGTTGTTATGGAAGATAACTGTCTCCTATAAACCATTAATCTTGGTGCCACTAACAGAGACAAAATCTTAGGCTAGGGTGATATTAAGTATGGTTCAATCTGAAGATTTTTTAAAGGTAATTTTTATACCATGAAACAGTAGGGATTGATCTACTCAGGCAGTTTTATCTTCCATAAAGTTTGCATCCTCAATTCTTTACATGGAAAGGTCATTACTTAAATATTTAAGACTAATACATCTCAATTTTGCCTTCAATTCAATCATGCTGCTAGCAGACATGGTAGACAATGTATATCCAGCAATCATATTCAGAAACATTCTTACCCTTCCATTTAACAGTGCTTCCTAGGAAGCCTCTCTAGAACAGAATGCCTACAGTTCCATTAATTAAAATTTTTTGAACAAATTGTTCCCAACGTTCCAAGTTCTGCTTAAATTTTGAAATGTGAGTTTTTCCCCCTAACTACAGTGATCTTTAAACATTGATTTTATTATTTTAAAATGGAACTCTTTTTCTCCATTCTAATTCCCATCAATCACAAATAACCCAGAACATGTAACATCAATCCTGCATCTTTAATTTCAGATGCAAGCCATTTTATATCTCTACTGCACAAAGATCAAAATTAAGCTACTCTACATATTGTCCTCAGGGTCGATGCTTTCTGAGGCCAATCGGAGCTAAGCAAATGGGGTAAAAGTGGTAAAACAGAGATATGGCAGTGTAGGAATGACAGGAAATTCCAGAAGGTCAAAAGCCAAGTCTAACACTATACCATTCTTGACTACTGTTGCCATTCCCAAGCTTCCTATTATACTTTACTATTTGTACATTTGCAACACACATTAAAAACATTTTCTATCTTTTTGTGGTTGTCAGATTTCAGCTCACCATTCTCAGGATGGTACCTACCCTGTGATGTGTAGTCTAGAATTGTGATGAGTATCAGTATATCTCTTAAAATAAAAATGTCTTGCTAGTTTCCCAAACTGTTATCAAGTCTTCTGTGGCTTATAAAATTACTTAGGTGAGAATTATGAAGAAAACAATTTCTTTGCTTTATTTGGTTAGGGAAATTTATTCTAAGGACTAAGCTAATTACAGGGACAAAATTATGGGTCAAATGAGTACTGATATGGTCAAAAGAAAAAGTGAGGAAGAAAAAGGCATGGCTACTCTATAAACAACATTATTATCTGACTATGAATAACAATTTCAGTTTTGAAAACCAGATTCCTGCTAAGGTCCCCTACTGCTAAAACAGGGACAAGTACCTAATTGTATCACATGAATATGTTAGATCTATGTTATTTCTTTTTTTTTAAATAGTTTTAAACTGTGCCTCCTGAAATGGACATATTTGAATCTTAAAATATATTATTTTAAAAACCTCTGAATAACATAAGACCTATTTGAAAGCCCACATACCAAATAACTGACATTTACAGAGTTAGACACATGCTTTACACGAATAATCACATTTGTGATTCACAACAACCCTGAGGTCAGTTCTGTAGGTACTATTATCCCTGTTTTAAGGAAGAAACGGAGCCACTGAGAAGCAACGTCACAATCTTAGGATCATAGATTTAGAACTGGAAAGAAACTTGGGTCTTTGAATCCAACTACTTCATTTTACAGAAGAGGAATCTAAGACTGAAGGATGTGGAATGATTTGCCAAGTGTTACACAGATATGAAGCAGAAGGAGGATTCAAACCCAGGACCTGACTCCAAATTCTGTGCTCTTTTCTCTGTCCTACTCTGCCTCCTTGTCACCATTATCATATTCATTATTATTATTCACATTTAACTAAAATAATGATGCAACACACACACACACACACACACACACAAACACATACACGCCTCAATATATGTCTCACTTTTAATCAAGCAAAATTTATTACATTAAGTACTTCACAGGGATTCTGAATACTCCTCCACTGAGAAAAGCCATCTCTGTGACACCAATATTCTCTTGCTAATGTTTTTTGGCTGTAAATTGTGGAATGCCATGATCTCAGAAGAATTAAAATAATAAATAATTGAAAAAGAAATAGAAAGATGCACAGTGAGAGTAAGTAGGCTACTGTATGTTACCAACAATGACTAGCATGCAAGCAGTGGTATAAAAGGCAAGATTAAAGATATGGATGACCATAAAGGAAGTGAGCTGTTCATTGGAGTTGTGGAAAGAAGACTCTACTGGAATCAGAAGGCCAGAATTCAAACACTAGTTCTCTTCCCACTTACTAAGTCACTGGTGTGACCAGAATTTGGGGAGTCACCTTCCCTTTCTGGGGCTCAGTTTCTTTACCTGAAATAGATAACATGTAAAGTCTCTTTTAACCCTGAATCCTTGAACATACGTAAATGGAAAAACAACCTGAGACACTTGCAGCCCTCCAAGATACTAAAGAACAAAAATGCCTCAAATGCATTGGGTAGATATTCCATGCAGGACCTAAAAGAGCACATGAAGAAGAATCTTAAAGATGAGATGACATAAAGGAGTTACAATCTGTTTGAATATGTACAGACACTGATAAAATCATAGACTTTTCAAAATATCAAAGAACCTATATTGTGCTATGCATTCTGAATTACAAAAGTACTTTATATTTCTTCATTCTCAAATTATGGTATGTCACCGACCTCTTATTGTTATGTGTTTAATCTTGTGACTTCCAGAACCCAAGGTGGGGTGGGATGGCGATACAAACAGGAAAGAGGAACAATTGTTACTCTCAAGGAGCTCACAATCTAATTGGCTGAAACTACACATATGGTAGTTTGACTGCAGGGCAGAAAGGCCTAAAAGCCTTAAGGGTTCAGTGGTACAATGAACGTAAGGCACAGGGATCCTTATGGTACACTAGAAGACTGGATGGCAGCGCCTGGGTGCAGTGACAAAGGATTGTCGCTGATGAGGCCTTGCCTATCCAAGTGGCTTCAGCCTGGCAAGGTTGCTGTCTGCCCATTACTACGGGGAAGGGAGAGGCAGGAAAGAGCCCAAGAGTTCAAGGGGAATGAAGATGTTGGGTTCTCTCTCCTGCAGGGAGTAGCAGAGTGGGCAGTGTCTAGCCATGAGGTAGTGATGGGGGCACTGGTGGTAAGGTTAAGGGGGTATCTCCTCCAGGAGTTCTGGAGTTTACACCGTATTCAAAGTCACCAACATTGGGAAGACTGAAGATTAGAGAGCTCAGGGATCATTATACAGCCTTTGTCTTAAAAGCTGTACCAGAATACTCAAGCACAGGCTGCCAATGTGGTGCTAACAGTCCTAAAATGATTAAATAAATATTCACCATGTCAATGAGAGTCTGGGGAGAAAGTGAAACCCATTCACTGAAGTGTGCTACAAACCTACTACTTCAAGGGGGAAAAGGGAGAAGTAAATCTCTTCCTGTGTTCCCATGAAAGCAAGAAGCTGAAACACCTTTATGATTATAACATTCAGAGTCAGAGTGACTCAGTGAGAAAACTGAAGGCAAGGGAAGCATCTTTCTCAAGGTTACACATCAAATGAGCAGCAGAGGCAAAATGGATATTCAGGTTCTTTACATCCAAATCCAAGGGGTCAGTATTCCAAGCACAGTTTTACCTAGCCAGCACAGCTGGTGAGGACCAAGACTAACCACTACCTCTTGAAGTGAAACTTCACGATTGCTGCCAGGTATCATTTAGATTGACTGGTTGGTGTAAAAGTAAAAAGATTCATGTGTCCTGAATATATCAATATCTGATCACCTGGACCACTCCTAGAAAATTTGGTCACCCCCTAGCTTAACAGGACAGAGCAAATCTACAATGTAATGAGGTAATTTGAGCAAAAGAATTTTGACCTTGCTTCCTTTTGGGGAAGAAACTCTTTCACTAATGTCCAGAGTCACATGAGTTCCAACATTCTCAGCTGGCTATACTGACTTGCCAAGTATGTTCTACCACCGCTTCTGTGCTATCCAGTAGATGAAAGCTCCATTACCTTCTAGGTCTCCTCCTGTGAATGAGTCCTTAACAAGACTAAGATAACGTATGCTCCCCGAGGCCAGGGAGTGCTGCATTTTTGTTTTTTGTACTACCAGATAACATGCTATTGAAGAGCATGGTGAAGGGATAGACAACGAGCTCCGGAGCCGCAGACCCAGATTCAAATCCTGTCTCTGACATTTCACAGTCACGGGACTTTGACCAAGTGACTTCATCTCTCTGGGACTCAGTTTCCTCATCGGATTCTTGACTGTCAAATGTAAAGACCTTACTTATCCTTTACAATCTTCATCCTTCCTGACCTCTGTAGTATTTTAAACAATTAGATCAAGTATTTGAGCGCTTACCACGCGACAGGTACCACGCTAAGATTACAAGCGGATAAGACCCTACCCAATAAAAGATGAGGTGACTCTGACAGCCCCAGTTTGGGGGTGCGGGCACCTCACAGCGCCCCGGCCGTGCTTTCTGAACTGGCTTTCATTGCTTAGACCAGACAGTCACACCCTCTGATCCTTCCCCCCTCCCAGGTCCCTGAATTCATCCATCTCGGGAAGGGAAGACACAAAGGCGCCCATCAGCCCCCACTGCCCAGAGCTCCGCACCCCCACCTTGTCCCTTTGCTCTGCACGTTGGACACAACTTTAGGAGGGCACACCGGCCTCCTCCCACCCCAACCCACCATTCCCCCAGATTCCCCAAACGCCAAGATGCAGACAGGGACTTGGGCTGGGTTAGGCAGCTCGTTAAACTCCGTTGGAGGATCGAGTGCTGGGGAAGGTGTACACAGACGTGACGTCAGTGGCCGAGGAGGGCGGGGAGGATTTGAATCCAGGCGCTCCAGACTCCTGCTCTCTATGGTGGGGGCACTGGGGAGCTCAGTGGAATTCCGCGCCTCACTTCCCCAGAACTCGCCTCCTCATTCCCGCCGCTCCACCCCAGGGGGTGAGGGGCAGGCCTCGAAGGAGGATACCTGTGCCGCTCAGCGGCTCCCGGGCGGCGGTTCCGCCCGCCTCCTCCTTCTGCTCCGCCTCCTCCCTGCTGCTGGCCCGCAGGCCGCATAGCTCTCCTCCGGGGGAGGGCGAAGGCGGGGAAGCTAGGCCCCCTCACAGGCCGCCGCAGCCCGTCCCGCGGCCGCCATCTTCCACCCCTGACCATGAAGGAAGGAAACAAACCGAGTCCCACCCCCGGCCCTGACAGACAAGCCCGCCAACCAACCCAAAGCAAGCTCCCGCCTTCGCCCCGCCCACCTCCAAGCGGCGGCCCTTCCCTCTGCTCTCACCCCGCCCCTCCGTAATACAACAGCAAAAGCCACGCCTCCGGGCCCGCCTCCTGAAATACTCCGCCTCTTGTGTGTGGCTCGGCCTTATCGCAATTGAACAACAAGGCTCCTCTCCTCGAGGGTAGCCCCTCCTGCCAGCAGGCTCCGCCTCTTCTGGGTGGTACCTCGGCCTCTCAGTAATTTAATACTACTCTGTGTTAAATGCTCCGCCTCCGGGCTCTCCCCACTACGGACTTAGAGTCTCCACCTCTTGTGGGTAGCTCTGCCATCTCCATTATTTATCAATAAAGGCTCCGCTTCCTATGGGTGGCCTGTACTCAATAATTCAGCAGTAAAGGCAAGAGGTGGACCTCTCATGAGTGGCCTCACTCTTCCATAATTCAACCACTAAAGCCACGCCTATGGGCGTGTCTCTTGGAATCGCCTCTCCCTATTGGTTATTCAGAAATAAAGGCTCTTCCTCTCGTAGGTGGCCCCACCTCCTCAAAATTTAGCAATAAATTTGCCTTGGCCCCGCCTCCCCAGTGTAGGTAGCTCCGCCCCTTCAGTAATTCAGCAATAAAGGCTTTGTCTCTGTCCCGCCTCCCCGGTATGGTAGCCCCTCCCCCTCAGTAATTTAGCAATAAAGGCTTTGTCTCTCAGGTGGTCCCACCCACGAGGTGGGCAAGAGTCTGTAGGTAAATAGGCGTTTCAGTTTTCCCAGCGGTTTTGGGATTTCTCAGTCCCGTATGGGTCAGGCCCCGGTTCTACAAAGTTAGGTGGGTCGGACATTCCATCTCTTGCCTCCAGCCTCTGGACATTTTCTCTGGCTGCCTCCGTGCCTGGTCCTTTTGGCTTCTGAATTCCCAGCTAAAGTATCCAGTCCCCATCTTAGCTGCCATTCCCTTTCAACCCCAAAATAGGAAGGTTAGGAGGAAGGGTAGATTGAGTCAGTCCACAAGCATTTGTTAAGCACTTACTTTGTTCCAGGAATTGTGTTAAGCTCTGGGAATACAAATACAAGCAGAAAGAAAATCACCCTCAAGGAGCTTACATTCTAATGAGCGAAGACAGCACATACATAAAAGGAAGTTGAAAATTCGTTATAGGTTCCGGGCATGGTAGAGAAAGTCTGAGTCCCTGCTTTCATGGAGCTCACGTTCTTATGGGCAGAACAACACGAACAATATCAAATGATCACACAAGAAGTAGCAACCACAGCGTTAAACAATTCCAAGGTCCCTTTGACAAAATTCTAGCCCCCTTTCCTCTCCATGGTGGCCCCCTCCATACCTGTGTGCTGATGGATTTCCATATAGAATGATAGGAACCTGCATAACTCAGAGATTCTGGCTTTTGAGCTGAGAGAAGCCCTAATATGACCAGTATGAAGGTTGCCAAGATGGAAGGAGGTTACTCAGGGACCTGTAACAGGTTTCTTCTGTTGCTGTTGCTGTCTCCTGTTCTTAACTGGGTATTTTCACTGGTTGTCCCCCATACCTGAAATGCTCTCCTCCTCATCTCCATTCTGGCTTCTCTGGCTTTCTTTAAATCTCAACTAAAGTCCTACCTCCTACAGGAAGCCTTTCCCAGTCTCCCTGTTGATTATTTCACTTTTATTCTGTAAACAGTTTGTTCATAAGTAGTTCTTTACATGTCGTCTCTTCCATTAGATTTTGAACTTTCTGACAGCAGATCTTTTGACTTTCTTTGTATCTCAGTGCCTAGTACATAGTAGGCAATTGATAAATGTTTATTGATAGACTGTTTATTGACTGACTGAAAGACTTGTTCCAGATAAAAGAAGGTTGATGAGGGCCTGAACTAGGGTTGTGAGAATCGGGAGAAGGAGATGGGTACAAGAGATATATAGGGGTAAAATCAACAAGACTTAGAAACTAATTGGTTATGGAGGGTGAAATACAGTGAGGAATTAAAGATGACTCTGAGTTTGTGAACCTGGTTGATTTGAAGAATGGTGGCGTCCCAGACAAAAATAGGGATGTTCAGAAGAGATATGAGTTGAGAGGGATAAGATGATGAATGATTTCTCTTTTGGACACAATGAATTTAAGATGCCTAGAAGACTAATCTGCCTACATATATAAGATAAATTGAGGAAGGAGAGCGATTGAAAGATAGTGACCTGGGCAAGTCACTTAACCCTGTTTGCCTCAGTTCCTCTTCTGTAAAATGGAGTGGAGAAGGAAATGACAAACCACTCCAGTATCTTTGCCAAGAAAACCCCAAATGGGATCACACTCAGATACAGTAGAAACAACTCAACACCAAATACGATTTTAGAGACTTTTGCACTACGCCAGGTAAGAAGTAACAAGGACATGAATTAGGATGGTGACAGTGGGAATGAAAAGGGAAATAGCAATTTGGGATTTAGAATCAGCTTAATTTGTGTATTGCCTGGGTGTGGAATGGGAATGAGAGGAGTCATAAATGAGACCACTAGGTGGCACCGTTGTATAGCTTCCATATGGTTGAGTACAACACTATGCCAAATGATCTCCTTTCTAATTTACCCAACCTACCTATTCTGCTGAAAGACCACAACATGGGCAATCAATAAGCACTGGTGAGGCAGCCAGGTGGCTCAGTGGATAGAGCGCAGGACCTGGAGTCAGGAAGACCATTGAGTTCGAATCCAGCCTCAGACCCTCATTAGTTCCGTGACCTGGGGCAAGTCACTTAACTTCTGTTTGCCTTAATCTGCTAGAGAAGGAAATGGCAAGCCACTTCAGTATCATTTGCTAAAAAAACCCCATGAACAGTATTGGTAAACTGTAGTCCATGGGGTCAGGAAGAGTCAGACACAGCTGAACAACAACAACATGGAATACTGGTAGATACAAAACTAGCATGCAACCAAACCTATAAAATCCAGCATCTAGAACTCTTAAAGTCAACCAAAAGAGTGGGCAGTGAAAGTTGATCAAGCTACTCATTGGTGGGTTTAGCTTTTTATTCCTGTTCACCCTTTCCCCATGTTCAGATAACTATTCTTTTTTCTTAATCAATCATCAAGCACTTGTTGTTATTCTGGTTCCATCATTTTTCAGTTATATCTGCCTCTTCACGACTTCATTTGGGGTTTTCTTGGCAAAGATGCTGGACTGGTTTGCCATTTCCTTCTCCAGTTCATTTTACAGATGAGGAAACTGAGGTAAACAGGGTTAAGTGATTTGCCCAGGGTCACACAGCTAGTAAATGTCTGGATTTGAACTCAAGAAGCTGGGTCTTTCTGATTCCAAACCCAGTGTTCTATCCACTGTGCCTTAGTTATCTACAAGGTACCGAGGACAGAAAGATAAAAGACCTTGTCCTTAAGGCACTTACATTCTAATGGAGAGACATCATTCACATATATGGGTATATACAAAACACATATAAATGAGATATGAGAGAATTTTGGAGGAACAGTCACCACAAGCTATTATGGACACCAGAAAAGGCTTCTTGCAGAAGGTGGTACTGGAGCTGAGTCTTGAAGGATACAAGGAATTCCAACAGATGGGGATGAGGGTGTGTGTTCTAGGCATAGAGAATGAGAGATGCAGTGTAATGAAGAAGGAATAGAAAGAAAGGCAATAAAATTGCATTGGGGTGTGTGTGTGTGTGTGTGTGTGTGTGTGTGTGTGTGTGTGTGTGTGTGTGTGTAAAGGAGTGATATATAATGAAGATGGAAAGATAGGAGGGGACTGGTTGAAGAACTTTAAATGTCAAGCAAAAGAGATTATATTTTATCCTAGAAGCCAAGGAAGTCTGTAGGTGGAGTTGAGGAGGGAAGGCATTCCAGGCCTGGGGGACAGCCAGAGAAAATGCCCTGAGCTGAGAGAGATCACTCTCATCAGAAAGAGGGAAAATGTGAAGAGGGCCATGTTTTAGAGGGAAGATGATGAGCTCAGTTTAAAACCTTGTGCATTTAACACATCCAGTTGAACACATCCAGGTGGAGATGTAGAATTGGAATTCTGACAGGAGGAGGTCTGTGATGGATATACAGAGCTGTTCATCTTCTGCTTAGAGGTGATGACTGGAGTGGATGGGGGTGGGTCATAAGATCAGTGATAGAGAGAGTTTAGAGCTAAATGATAAGTGGCCTAAGGCAGATCTTTGGAGGGGAGGAGGAGGAGGAGGAGGAGGAGGAGGAGGAGGAGGAGAAGGCAGAGAAGAAGGAGAAATAAAAGAAAGAAGAGAAGGAGGAAGAGGAAGAAAGAAGAAAGAACCAGGAGGAAAACCAGGAGAGAACAATGTCACAAACCAAAAGAGGAGAGAATATCTAGAAGGAGAAGGGTGGTCAACAATGTTAAATTCTGCAGAGGTCATGGAGCGTGAGGGCCTGAGGAAAAGCTATTAGAGATGACAATATAGATCTGATCACTGGAAACAGGAGACAGTAATTTCAGTGGAGTGATGGAGACAAAAGTCAGATTGCTCAGAGTTGAGAAGTGGAGTCTGCAGTGAGGAAATATTCTTTCCAGAAGTTTAACAGAGGAATAGTGGATTCTTAAGGATATTTGTATGGAGAGGAGAAACAAGAGAGAGAATGACAGAGAAAAAGAGAAAGAGAGAGAGAGAGAGAAGAAGAAGAAGAAGAAGAAGAAGAAGAAGAAGAAGAAGAAGAAGAAGGGAGATTGAAGACTCAAGGAAGAGAGAAAAGAAAGAAGGGATAGGAAGAGAGAGAGGAAGAAAGAGGTTGATGGTTGAGAGGAGATTGAATCAAGGACTCCAACTCTACTGTAAACTCTAGAGTATGGCTGCGTGCTTGACTCCAGGTTCATCACCTGGCACACTCTTGGTTGATAGTAAGTACTTAGTAATAATTTTGCAGAATTAAATTTTCT